AAGAGGATGTTGGAGGAGAGAGCAAGAAGAGGATGTTGGAGGAGAGAGCAAGAAGAGGATGTTGGAGGAGAGAGCAAGAAAGGGGTAGTGCCATGGATGAAAGTAGAAGCCCCCTCTGACCCCAGCCCTTTCCCAGCTTACGTTCCCAGTATGCCTGCAGAGGATTCCTGAGTGCTGATCAGAATATACAAGCTACTTTGCTTATCGATTTCCTTCAGATTGACTCGAAACATCTGTCAAACAAAATAATAGCTTGTGAGATCACAAATTTTAATTCAGTCACCAATGAGTTTCCCAGGCATTAGGCAGCTTCCCATATAACTGAAGGTTTTGTATATATGCACAATCAGTGAGGTAATGCATGTAAAGTACATAACTAAGTGCCCAGCACACTAAACATGCAATAAATGTACTACTGTCATCAACTTTCTCTTTGTGATTTGTGTGAATCTAAGGAGACACAGAGGTGAGCATCTGAAATATTCATCTAGCAGCAGACAGAAGCCAGGACTAATTTGAATGGCTTGGGTCTTCACTGTGCTTTTTACCACTGACTAGCAGTGCAACCCATAGCTGGTCTATGCTCCTCTTTGGACCCATCTGTACAGTGATAACCTCTGTGGTTCTCCCCAGAAGGAGACTGTGATTGTATACCTTTGTTCCATTCAAGGCTTCCTCAGTGCACCCATACCCCAGGCTGCCCATTCACCTTTTCCAGAGCGTAGCTTGCTCGTTCAATGATCTCTGGGAAATATTCATCATATTCTTGGATGACATCCTTCAGCATGTCTACAAGAAGGGAGAGGTAGGAAAACCTGGTCTGAGCATGGGCCATAGAGCTGCAGCCCTTTTTTAAAAAGAATGGGGTTTTTTGGCTGTTGATGGACCTTTATTTTTATTTTTACTTATATGTGGTGCTGAGAATCAAACCCAGTTCCTCACACATGCTAGGCAAGTGCTCTACCACTGAGACACAACCCAGCCCCAACTTAATAGCCCTTTTGTCAGCCCAGTGGGGTTAGTGCAATCAGAGCCTTGAACTAGGTTATTAAAAGATGCTAGCTCTGATGATGTAGGAGGAAAGCAATGGTAGAGATATTAGAGAATAAGCAAGTCATAAAGGTAAAGGATTAACCCCAGACTATGGGATGGGGTGGCTCAAAGAGGAGGATTGGTAGGACACTACCTGAGCGCTTTATGGGGATCTTTGTTTGATCCTTAACCAACAGGTATTTCACCAATTTATTTGCCTGAAAAAAGGGAAAGATAGTGAGATCTCAATATACTTGTAAGATGTCAGAAAAGAGGCAGAGGAAGAAAACAGAGGAGGCAGCATTGGATTCTTACCCTTTCTTGCAAAATGGCCACATCTCGTGGTGGCGTAGGCCTCCGGCCCCATGGGATCCGCCTATAATTACTGCCACTTCTCTCATCCCCATTTGGATGTTTGGACTTCATCACGAGAAAGAAGAAAGGTCCAGAGTTACCAGGTGAAATATATGGCTGTCTCTTCCAGCAAGTCCCCTTCAACTCCCCCCTACAGTGGGGCCTGACCCTGCCATTGGCTACCCAGAGTCCTGGGATTTTCTTCCACTATCTTCCAGGCAGAAATTTAATTGCTCTGTTCAGGCTAGAATAACCTAAGGGCCTGGGACAGCTCTACTTCCTTGGTATCACTAGACTCTGCTAGCTGTATTCCCTGGACAAGTAAATTCACTTCAGTGGGACTCAGTTTACTTATCTGTAAAACTAGAACTTACGGTCCCTGTATCCCTTTCAAGATATAAAGGCATGGCTTTTGTAAATATATCCAAAGCAAAGTTTGGAACATGGTGACCACTATGTAAATACAAGGTGAATTACATACAGGTTATATCTAAGTATATAGATATCTTACTTCCCCACCACTCTGTGAACTGCTAGTTGGTCACAAACTATATTCCATTTTTATCAGCATCTCCCATATCCTATATGAACACAGGGACTAGTAAAAAGACTCAGTAAATGTTTATAGAAGAAATGAGCAAACAAGGAAAACAGGAATGGAAAAGAA